GGGGCGCCGGGCCGGCCGGCGGCTGGGCACTAACGCGCGCCTCCTGTTTTCAGCTTGCCTGGAGGGCGAGGGGGCCGCGGAGGGGGGCGCCTCGGAGGCGAAGTTCCCCTGCCCTCTGGCCATGTGGGAGCTGGGACACTGCGACCCCAAGAGGTGCACCGGGAGGAAGCTGGCCCGAAAAGGGTTGTTGCGAACCCTGCGCCTCCGCCAGAGATTCCCGGGCCTCGTCCTCAGTCCTCTGGCGACCGAGTACGTCTCTCCAGCCGACAGGTGAGCCCCCGGTGAGGCCCCCCCGGTGACCTCGCCGCCCCTTGGCAAAGCCCGCGGCGGCGCAGGCTGGGAGGAAGAGCACTTGGGTCGAAGGCTGCCGCGATGGTGTGTTGGGGAGAACGTTTTGTCGGCTGATCCATGGCCAGAACTGTGCTGCAGAACGCATTTGGCCTTCCTGTTCCGTTACATTGGCGGGTGAACGTGAGAAATGGAGCCATTTTATTAAATCAGGTTAACATTTTTACACAGCTGGTATCAGGTGAGAAAAGCATCTGTAGATCCCAATGAGAAATCGAAGTATGTGGTTGGTAGGTTAATTTGTTCAGAACCACGGGCCTATAGCTACCGTATCTTTCACGATTCCATATTCAGGTTCTTCTGTGAGGCAACACAGTGCATTAAACAGAAAACTTATTTGGGGGAAACTTTGAGAATTTTCTTCAAATGTACCTGCGGACTTTTTATGAAGATGTATTTACTCAGAGAAAAGATTAGTCTTTAGAAGCTAGTGGAGAACCTAAACCTGAACTTTGGTGTACTTTCAAGAATGTGAACGTTACTATTAACCACATTCTTCTGTCACATTTTTAAACCTAGAATTTTTCACTTCCAGTTTGAAACGTATGGATAAATTTTTTTTGCCACATGCATGTTCGGAGGAGAAGCATGTTATTATTCTTTCCTGTTGCGTCTGTATTTTTAGATCATTGTAAAACGTATGCTTTTTGATTGACAAAAGGAGGAGGTTGTATGCAGATTTGTTGCCAGTATAAAGAGGCAATTGTAATTTTCACTTTAACTTATTTTATCAATACAACGATAACAATTCTTCAAATACAGTGATGTTTCTTTTTTCAGGCATGTCGTTGCTCAGAGTGGAATTGCAGTCATAGATTGCTCATGGGCCAAATTAGAAGAAACTCCCTTTAAGCGAATGAGAGGAAGTCATCTACGGCTACTGCCTTACTTGGTGGCTGCAAATCCTGTAAACTATGGTCGGCCGTGCAAGCTGTCCTGCGTGGAAGCTTTTGCTGCAGCTTTTTGCATTGTTGGTAGGCTGGAATGTGTCTGATGTGAAATATGTTACCAGCAGTTCTTGCATCCTGAATAAATCAGAAGAGATGATCTGCGATAGAACAAACTATAATGCCGTCCCACCGGTCATCACTTTGTTGAGTGTGCAATCAGATTGTCTAGCTTTCTTCCAAGTACTTGTATCTGGTAGCGTCAAGGTATCTGTGGGGTGTTTGTGTCAGCTACTAAACAGGACACATAAACTGATGATCCTGGTTTTGTCAGGATGGCACTTAATGTTAGCAAAACTGTTTAAAAAAGCCAGAGAAGACAGAGCGTGAATCCTTAGGCATCTTTGTCTTAATGAGAGGTAACAGCTGTCTGTTAATAGGGTGGGTTCTGGTTAAGAACAAAAGAAATTGCCCCTCTTGTGATGTTTTGCAAACTCATCACACAACTTTCTTGACACTTGAAGAGACATGCTCTGCTATACGGCAGACAAATCTTACCTTCTTAAAATATTGTGTGTACAACTGCTCTCTTATTGAAGGACTGTGGGAGCTAGAGCTTGAATCATTCATTACCTGTACAATATATTTTTATATAACACTCACTGAAAGACTGAACTTTTCTTGGATTCATTTAGATATTTCAAGATAAACTGAAATTTGAAAAGATTTTTAATCTTTTTAAAAGTGTGAATCCCTGAACACTGAAAAGATACTGGCAAACATCTCACTATTGTAGTGATACATAGGTATGTACTGAACTTAGAAACCTGTAAACTGAGTGAAATCTCACACTGAAAAAGAAAACTGATCATTTATTTTCTGTTTTAGGATTCCCAGACCTAGCCACCATTCTTCTAAGGAAATTTAAATGGGGTAAGGCATTTATTGACTTGAACAAAAATCTCTTGGAAAAGTATGCAGCCTGTCATTGCCAGGAAGAAGTGCTGAGAGTTGAAAAGGACTTTTTAGCCAGCGTCCAAGAAACAAAAGACGAAGAAATAGGTAAGAAAGAACACAGACACACCACACACCCCCTTTTGCTAACTAGTTTCCTTACAATCTTTTCCTTTAATCCCATGAAAATATTGGCAAGGTAGAAGATAGGAGCTTTGTTGGGATGTGTTGTTCTGTCTTTATACTGTGTATTCTTCTTATAAGCAAGTTTGCCAATTTTTTTCCAACTCAAAAAGATGAAAACAACTAAAGCAGTTTAACGCATACAGTAGTGTATTCACAACTGAACTGTGGAGCAGCTACCCTGATTAAATTGAGGATATTGGAGAACTAAGGAGTAAAAAGAAAATACGATGCTTCCTCATTTTATCCACAGATGTTAAAATCGGAGTATGAGTAAAAAGACTAGTAATTCAGGACTAGAACAGAAATATAGGCATACAGTCTGACAGCAAGTTAATTATACATAAACCTAAGATGTTTAACGGACATGTTTATATACTCCCTAATCAAGATGTTTAAAATCAGACCTATAAAGATAATGAAAATAGTTTATAATAAGTACAGTAGTTTATTCCCAAATTCTTCCAATAACTTACTGGTGTCCCAGTATTTCAGGCTATATTCCCAGGTGAGTGCTTGGTGTCATTCAAGACAGCACAAAAAAAGACAAATCAAATGATCAAGAACATATGAAAAGAGATGCTCCTAATTCATGCTTTCCTTTCACAGTGGTTAAGTCCCATAAAAATAGGCCAGGGGATCACACTGTAAGGAGATGGTAGACAGCCTCTAGTTTCTCTGATCTCTTTGCCATGACATGCTAGGCTGAATGAAATCATCCTGTTGTTTGGTGGAAGCCAAACTGCTGTTACATTAAATTGAAGACAGTTCTGAAGGGGCAACGCTGCTATGCCAAATAAAGCACGCTCCCACCCACAATCCTCTGTATTTTCTGGATGGACTGTAGTACCGAAGCTATTATGCCTTGTTTGACTTCTCCGAGGTCACCGTTCTCCCCGGCTGTGTAAGCCAAAGCAAATCTAGCCCTATCCTTACTCAACAAGAGCTAAACCTGGACAGCTATACTTTACTTCTCAGTAGACATGAGCTAACTAGATAGCCCTTTTAGAACTAAACCATTCTGAGAACATCCATGTTTTCTTACCAAAAGCCTTAGAAACCTTAAAAAAGGTTAAACCTTAAAAAAGGTTAAACATTAAAGCCTTAGTACAGTCTGACTACCCCTAAAGAGCTACGGAAGCCCTTGGCGGGGGTGGGCACCAAAGGGCATGGAAAAGAGTGAAAAGACTATAAAAGGAGGGGCAGGACTTGGCAGTTGTTTCTCACCTCCCCTGGTTTCTGACAAAACAACTATGGTAAACTTACCAGAAAGCTGACCCAGCTTCCCCTCCCTGCCGATAATCTCTTAAAATGAAGGCAGACCATTAAAATACGCCGCCTTCATTAATGTGTGCGTGTTTTCCTTCTTTTTCCAGATCCGTTTGATGTTGACTCGGGAAAAGAATTTTCTAATCCCAACAGACCAATCAGTTCCCCAGGGTAATGAAATTTAATTTAAATACTATTTTTCTTTTCTGTTGTCTTGCTTTTATAATCCTGAAAAATGTTTCCAGACTAGCACAAAGTAGTGAAGAATCGGAGGAGGACAGCGTGAGCACCCCAGATGATGCAACTGAAAGCAGTGATGAGAGCAGTCCAGAAGATGATGGTACTGTGAAGTTGCTGCAACAATAACCAATAAATCAACTATTTGAAAAGTAAAAAAACCAACCAACCAACCCCAAAACAACCACCAAAAACTCCAGCGAACAAACAAAAAACCCCACATACTACAAGAACATACCCCGCTCCCCCCCCCAACAATCCTGAAGAGTTGTAACATCTTGTATAAAGAAATTTTCTTGTTAACAGTGCGACTTGTTCACCTGTAACTTGGTGCTTAGCAAATGCCTTCCTTTAGGTGAACCATAGGCTAGATGTGGGTTTATAGGTCTATTTATGCACATAAAGGCTTTAGGTTATCTAATTTTTAGGTAATTGTTTATGGAATACTAATGATTATGTAAAGAGCCTGAAGCTTAGTTACAAGTTAAAACCAAACTGTATTCTAATCAGTGTGTCTGGAAAATGGTTTATAGTTATTATTTTTACCTAATAGTACATCAAGTAAACTCTTCTAAGTTCTGGGCTGTATTTCAACTGGAAAATGTGACGCAGTAATCGCCCTGTTCAGAGCACCTACCACGTAAGGAGCCTCTGACTTGAACATGCTGTATGTATTTCAACTACTTCATCCAGGTCCAGGTAAACTGACTACCTAAGCGTAAAAGGAAAAAATGCTTCCCGGAATTAAGTTTTAACATCTCCGTATGTCTTTTCAGTAACTTTACATGCTATATTTTTATTTACTCTCATAGAGTAAACATACAAGCACTAAGCAACATACAATGTTTTGGCACTTTATATTCAGAACTGCACCATAAAATTTCAGGTAACAGGTTCAGCAATGCTGTCTGCCTGCCTTCCTTCTCGTTACTTGAAGTGCCACTCTACCAAGTCAGAAGGACACAGTGTCTGGCCCTTAAAGGTTTCACTCAGCGACTCTCATCAGCAGGAGTATCTTAGTTCACTTTTCCATATGCCTGCCAGTTTGTATAGTGAAAGTACAGCTGTTAGCAGTTGTTTTCTGTACATTTAACTAGAACGCTCTTTCGAGTTTCCAGCACCCAAGGGGAACCTTATTTAAACCTAAACTTCAGCAACCCTTCAGTAGAACTGGAGATACTGAGGACAATTCATAGTGCTACCTTCATATATACAAGTTCTTCAAGTCACAGCAAGATTTTCCCCTCTTAACCCTCTTCTACTAGAGATTAAACACTAGCCCTACTGGAGCTAGAATTGGGAGTCACAGCAGCAGTTTTAGTAGTACAAATATTCCATTTCCCTTTAAAAAGAAAAAAAGAAGCCCAAGTAAATGAATTTGACAGGGAATCTTTTCCTTTAACTCAGTTTCTCAATTACTCACATACCCACCCCAAGCATGTGAAGTCCTTCCCAAATCAGCTGTTGTAACAAGGATTTCTAGATAGTGACAAGGAAGCAATCCTGCACAAACAATCTTTAAAGGACTGAGAATAATGTGAGGGTGTTAGCTATTCTAATTTGGGGGAATGCTTTTGTGTTATAAAGCTATTGTAATCAAATGCAGACAAGCAGAACAGATCTGAGAACAGAGCTGTATCACACTTAGAATAACTTAAGTCTCTAGCAGTAGCCATTTTTTAATAACAAAAGCACTGAAGAAGCTACAGCTCAGATGGAACAAAGCTTTTCACACTTCATTTGTTTTGCAGAATGATTGTCACTAAAAAATACAATAAAAAAGGCAGTGAAAGTTTAATAGAGGGCATATCAGCTTGACATACATGAAAATAACTTACATAATTTAACTGATTTCCTTTACAGAAGGAAACTGTAATTGCATAGAGCACGTCCTTTTCCTAAAAGCTATATACATTGATATATGGAAGAAGGCACAGAAGTATTTCTGAAACAAGTACCATTTAAAATCCCCAGTTGCTGTAGGTCCCCTTGCATTCCTTGGACAGAGTCTATTATTGTTCATATCGGTCTAACGCTCGTGTTATTTTATGTTAACATGGTCACACCAGTATGTTGATCCCATTACGCACAGTAAGCAACTGGACTCTAGCTAGTCAGAATTCCATAACCTGTTTAAGGAACTGATCAAAAGTTGAAGAGCTGCAATTACCACTCAGGGAACAGAGAAGGGCCACATTCACTTTGGGGGTGGAGGCCGGGAAAAGAAATGAAGGCAACATCTAAAGAAAAGGTAAGTGCAGCATCGCAGGCCTTAAAAACAGGACTTGCACTGAATTGTGTTCAGAGCCATTTAAATGGCAGTCTTTTAATAATTTTAATGAAGATAAATGAAACAAAGCCCTTTATATAAACAGTTTATTTACTCTAAACAGCAACACAGACAGAACGCCATATAAACACAAAGGAAGTGATGCAGAATAAGGATGCTGGCTGACTTTGGATCTCAGAGGCTCTTAAGCAATAACAACCTAGTTTCTGAAAGATAGAAAAACAAATTCAGGGAGGGAAGGGGGTGGAGGGCATGATTTTTTTTCATACAGCCAGCTAGAGGCTAAATATAGTTCTAACATTTTAAAGCATGCCTGCATCAGATAGCAAAGTAACTAGAGATACTAGTGAATTTATAGAAGTATAAAAGTTTATAATTTTACAGCAGTTGAAATACTGACATCAATATTAAAATAAAAGCAAGTTTTACATAACAATCAAAAATACAAAAGACTGAAGGAAGAGACCCTGTATGAAAAAACTGGGGGCAATTCAGCAAATTTAGAACTGTATACAAGTGGCAAATATGGAAAATGGCACACATACAACCCCCTCCCCTAAGTGGATATTAATTGTACTTAGCAACATTAGATTTTGCAAAAGTTTTGTAAACAAGTTCTTGCCAAATGAATCCCTTCCTTTTTAAGATGCTGCACGACAGATGCTTATGATGGTGCAAACTTCTTGGCTTGTGCTCGAACCCTCTTTTCATATTCCACTCTGTTTTGGCTGAATAGAAGAGAGAGAAAGGGGTAAGTACAGCTTGAGAAATCAGAAGCCATAGTATAGAATTATTGTTCTTCTATTTCTCCTCAATATGAAACTAAGTCATTGCTGAAGACAAAATCATTAGATAAGAATTCACTGAACACTACAATATATTACAGGCTTTTCTGGACCGTCACTCTGATCGTTTCATTTGGAGGGAAGTAAGGTACTGTTTAACTAGTTCCTTCCCAAACTTCATCTGTTCTCAAATGATTGTACTACCTGACTTCATACCATACCAGTCTCTATAAGGTTTGCACCTGCTCTTTCTCAAGGCCAGCTGTACCTTACACGCAAGCATTCCAATTCATCCAACCTAAGTTTTCCGCTCCCCATGTTAAGACCTGAAGTCATTAACAATAAATTCCATATCCTAACAGCACAAAGTGGTTGATGAGAGCAGTTCACTAACAGTTGGTGGACTTCGTATGATTTTAAAGTATCATCTTTACTGCTTTGGGGAAAGAGGGGAAGCACTCTTTAAGAAACAGGAAAATGATGACGGTATGGTAGTTTCAGCCTTTATCTCTGCAGACCCCGACTCACAATGTTAGGTTTATCCTAACCTTCAGTTGAAAAAAGCTAGTTCAACATTTTGAAAAAACACAATGGTTCCCTAAGTCTAGCATACTTGCTACACATTGGTCAAACAAGCAAGTACTACTTCAAGGAACTATGACCAGTCATTAAGCCTCAGCCTCACCACATAAGAGGGCAAGTTCTTTGTTTTCTATTCTTGGGCCAACAAGGGATGGTAGTAGCTTAGTAGAGCATCCATTTACATTCAACACCGTATTTTGTATTAGCTGTCAGAAGTGTCAGTCAAGAGCTGAACAAAAATTTGTTACCATTACTCTTGTGCCAAAGGTAGTTTAGAGTGACTAGATTTTGCAGACAGCTTTGCAGTAAACTTAACTTAGTTTCAGCTATGAAGGCTTGCTGCAGTAAAAAAAAAAAAAAAAA